AACGTGTAAGAACACATGCATAATATAAGCAGAAAGATGGAATCTAAGAAAATCAAAAACGAAATTAAACTAAGAAAGCCATTGGTTGGCTCATGAGTAGACTGGACACAGCTGAGGGAAGTCGCTAAGGTTGAGGGTATGTCAATAGAAACTTCCAAAACTGAAAATAAAAAAGACTGAAAAATGGAAAAGACTATCCAAGAACTGTGGGACAACTACAAAAGGTGTAACAGACAATGGGAAATACCAGGAGGTGAAGGAAGAGAAGAATATCTGAAACAACAGTGACTGAGAATTTACCAAAATTGTCAGATCTAAGAAGCTCAGAGAACAAGCAGGAGAAACACCAAAATAAAACTACACCTCAGCACATGATATTCAAACTGCAGACAATGAATCTTAAAGCCAGAGGGGGTACAAAGGCTTGCTTATAGCAAAGCAAAGATAAGAATGACATCTGACTTCTCCTCAAAGCCATGCAAGCAAGAAGAAAGTGGAGTGAAATATTTAAACTGCTGAGAGACAAAAGCAAACAAAACCCTAGAATTCTGTAGCCTGTGAAGTTCTTGAAAGGTAAAAAATAGACTTGCTCACACAGACAAAAATGGAGGGAATCTGTTGCCAGTTGACCTTCCTTGCAATAAATGTCAAAATAGTTTTTCAGAGAGAAGGAAAGGTCAGAAACTCAGATCAATACAAAGGAAGGAAGAACATTAGAGAAGGAATAAAGGTAAAGAAAAAACTTTTATTATTGTTTCTTAATCTAATAGATAAATTTCTTCAAAATAATACCTATAATGCATTTAATAATTACAGATTATGTAAGTGAAATGAATGACAGCAATGATACAAGGAATAGGAGGGGAGAGTTAAGAATATTTTGTTATAGGGTACCGCATTACCTGTGAAGCGGGATAGTGTTATTTGAAAGTGGACTTGGTTAGTTGTGAATGTATTCTACAAACTCTAGGGCAACCACTAAAAACAGAGAAAGACGTATAACTGATATTTGAAGAAAGGCAGAAGATAAAATTAGGAACAAAGAACAGGGCAGTAATCACTAAACATCAATGGTTTAAATACATCAATTAGAAGACATGCTGTCAGAGTGGACCAATAAGCAAGATCCAAATATATGTTGTCAAAAAAAAAACCCCATTTTAAATAAAAGACATATAACTTAAAAGTAAAGATATACCATGCTAACACCAATCAAAAGAAAGTAGGTGTAGCTATATTAATTTCAGGAGGAACAGAGCAAGAAAGTTATCAGGATAAAGAGGGTTATTACATAACTAGAGGCCCGGTGCACAAAAATTTGTGCACTTGGGGGGGAAGGGGGGTCCCTCAGCCCGGCCTGTGCCCTCTCGCAGTCTGGGACCCCTCGGGAGATAACGACCTGCTGGCTTAGGCCTGCTCCTGGGTGGCAGAGGGCAGGCCCAATCCCTAGGTGCAGCCCCTGGTTGGGCTCAGAGCAGGGCTGATTGGGGAGTTGGGGCGCCACCCCCTGTCATGCACAGAGCAGGGCGGATCGGGAGGTTGCGATGCCACCCTCAGTCACGCTCAGGGTAGGGCCGATTGGGGGGTTGGGGCGCTGCAAACAGCCATCATCCCCTCATCCAGGCTGGCCAGGCACCCAAGCGGGAACCCCACCCTGGGCCAGCTTTAGCTCTGAGGTTATGGCTCTACCCCGTCACACACAGAGCAGGGCCCGTGAGGGGGGGGGTTGGGGCTCCACCCTCTATCACCCACAGAGCAGGGGCGATCAGGGGGGTTGGGGCGCCGCCCCTGTCACACTCAGGGCAGGGGTCATGGGGAGGTTATGGGCTCTACTCCGTCACACACAGAGTAGTGTCCGTGGGAGAGGAGGAGGGATTGGGACGCCGGACTCTGTCGGCACACTGAGCAGAGCCGATCAGGGGGTTGGAGAGCTCCCCCCTATCAGGCGCGGAGCAGGGATGATCAGGGGGATCGGTGCCTTCCCCTGTCA